TTCTTCTGTTGCTTTGTGTGGTACATGGAGTGTGGCGACTTGAACAGTCGCACATTTGTGCAAAGTTCTATGTCGAAAACAGACAGACTTAACTAAACCTACCTTTAACTGATTTTATTTTTATTGTTATTATTATTATTATTATTACTGTTCCTTTGATTTCCAAGAGGAACATACAGTTTCACCAACACATCTGCAAATTGTTCCATTTTCTGGTGTCCCCTTTTCTGGGCCTACAACTGACCATGATTACTCATATCCTGCATGTCAAGTAATCCACGACGGGAAACTTACGGAAGCCTTCGAAGTAAGGACGGGAGTGAGGCAAGGCTGTCTACTATCACCAATGATCTTCCTGATTGCAATTGATTGGATAATGCGACAGACAACGGGAAATGAGGAAACAGGCATAAAATCGACTCACACAAAAAACTTGGAGGATCTGGACTTCGCCGATGATATATGTCTGATTTCCCACAAACTGGAAGATATGCAAGTGAAAAGCAACAAGTTGGCAGAAGAAGCATCAAAGATAGGACTTCAAGTGAACATAGGTAAAACAGAGGTGATGAAGATTCTTGGCCAACACCACCAACAACAGACGACAGTCAGCATAAATGGAAGGAGCCTGAAAGAAACAACCTCCTTTACCTACCTGAGAAGTATCGTTTCAACTACAGGCGGAAGTGACGAGGATATCAAAGCCAGAATCGGGAAAGCAAGACAAGCTTTCATTACTCTCAAGTCTGTGTGGAAGTCAACATCACTCAGCATCAAAAATAACATCCGGATTTTCAACTCCAATGTGAAGTCAGTGCTACTCGCTATACGGATCAGAGACTTGGCCAGCGCGTCATAAAGAGCATCTCAAACAAACTTCAGACCTTCATTAACAGTTGTCTTCCCTCAATAATCAAGATCAGATGGCCGGCCCGAAAAGATCAGCAACAGGGATCTCGGGGAGCGAACCGACCCAGCGGGAACCGAATGTGAAACAAATAGGCAGGAAGAAATGGAGATGGATTGGGTGGCCATACTCTGAGGAAACAAGCCATCGAGTGACATCACTAGACAAGCCATTGCTCGAGTGGAATCCGAAAGGGAGGCGGCGAGTTAGTCGTCAGTGCAAGGGTGACATGGAGGAGGTCATGTGAGGAGGAGATGAAAGCATGTGGGCAGAGTTGGAGCGGAGTGAAAAAGTTGTCAGAAAACAGAAGGCAATGTAGGTGCGTAGCTGAAGCCCTATGTTCCTCTAGGAACTAAAGGATACAATAATAATAATAATCTCATCTCCTCCTCGCACGATCTCCTCCATGTCAACCCTCGCATCGTCGACCCAGTTGTTGTTTTTTTCCGTTCAGATTCCATTTGAGGGTTTGTCTGGTGCTCGATGGTCTCCATCTCCAGTTTCTCCTACATTTTTGTTGAACGATATATTCTTGGTTGGTTGCTTCCTATATTTTCTTGTTACTAATTCACTCTGGTCAGACATCTGATCTTCAGTATGGAGTCAAAGAAGGCAGCTGTTGGTAAAAGTCTGCAATGTGTTGGAAACACTTTTCATAATGCTGCATGTTTCTGACCCACATAGAAAAAGTGACTTGACATTGGTGTTGATAGTCCAAACCTCTTCGCCATCCTTATTCTTTATTACATCGATAAGAGGCACATCGGTTGACTGGCTTCCCAAAGGCTTTCACCAGCCCACGTGATGTCTCTCCGATTCCGGCGAAGAATAAGTTTTTAAAAAAAATATTTTTTGTATTTTTAATATTTTCTTTGTGCATTGAAGTTTCTGTACTAGTTTGATTGATTTCCTGGTGTATGGTCGCTGTCCCTACGTCCAACCCTCCCTCTTTTCCCGGGCTTGAAACCGGGTAGAAAACTAAGGCGCTAGTAAAATATGCGAGGTTTTATAATTATTATAATGATATCCTTTAATTCCTAGAGGAACATAGGGCTTCAGCTGCGCACCTACATTGACTTCTGTTTTCTGACAACTTTTTCATTCCGCTCCAACTCTGCCCACATGCTTTCATCTCCTCCTCACATGACCTCCTCCATGTCACCCTTGCACTGACGACCAACTCGCCGCCTCCCTTTCGGATTCCACTCGAGCAATGGCTTGTCTAGTGATGTCACTCGATGGCTTGTTTCCTCAGAGTATGGCCACCCAATCCATCTCCATTTCTTCCTGCCTATTTGTTTCACATTCGGTTCCCGCTGGGTCGGTTCGCTCCCCGAGATCCCTGTTGCTGATCTTTTCGGGCCGGCCATCTGATCTTGATTATTGAGGGAAGACAACTGTTAATGAAGGTCTGAAGTTTGTTTGAGATGCTCTTTATGACGCGCTGGCCAAGTCTCTGATCCGTATAGCGAGTAGCACTGACTTCACATTGGAGTTGAAAATCCGGATGTTATTTTTGATGCTGAGTGATGTTGACTTCCACACAGACTTGAGAGTAATGAAAGCTTGTCTTGCTTTCCCGATTCTGGCTTTGATATCCTCGTCACTTCCGCCTGTAGTTGAAACGATACTTCTCAGGTAGGTAAAGGAGGTTGTTTCTTTCAGGCTCCTTCCATTTATGCTGACTGTCGTCTGTTGTTGGTGGTGTTGGCCAAGAATCTTCATCACCTCTGTTTTACCTATGTTCACTTGAAGTCCTATCTTTGATGCTTCTTCTGCCAACTTGTTGCTTTTCACTTGCATATCTTCCAGTTTGTGGGAAATCAGACATATATCATCGGCGAAGTCCAGATCCTCCAAGTTTTTTGTGTGAGTCGATTTTATGCCTGTTTCCTCATTTCCCGTTGTCTGTCGCATTATCCAATCAATTGCAATCAGGAAGATCATTGGTGATAGTAGACAGCCTTGCCTCACTCCCGTCCTTACTTCGAAGGCTTCCGTAAGTTTCCCGTCGTGGATTACTCGGCATGCAGCATTGTCGTATAACTGTTGGATGAGATGAATGATTGTCGGCAGCATCCCGTAGTAGCGAAGTAGTTGCCAAATGACCTCTCGATCGACGCTGTCAAAGTCGATGAAGTTGAGTGAGGTGGAGAGGTGACTGCCGTTCCAAGCTATGTTCAATGATGATCCGTAGAGTGGCGATTTGATCAATAGATGATTTGTCTCTCCTGAATCCAGCTTGTTCCGGTCGAAGTTTTTCATCCAGGTTGGCTTGTTTGATTCTCTCAGGATGATGCGGCTTAGTATTTTGCTTGGGATCGACAGGAGCATAATTCCGCGCCAGTTTTCACATTGACTCAAGTCTCCTTTCTTTGGTAGTTTGAATAAGTATCCTTTCTTCCACTCCTTGGGTACTTTGCCCTCTTTCCACACCTTCTCCAGTAGTGGTGTCATCAAGTCTGCTGTTGTCTCTGGGTCCATTTTCAATGCTTCTGCTGGGATTCCATCTGGTCCTGCTGCTTTTCCGGCTCTTAGCACCTTGATTGCATTCAGGACCTCTGATTTCGTCGGAGGGTCGATGTTCACTGGTAGTTCTGAAGTAGAAGTGGATGTCTGGACTTTTGTACACAAAGCACTGGTTGTTTAAGGGGAATCGCAATAGCCTCTGCTGCTTGGAGTTTGCCGTACCTGGATGTTTTTGGTACCCAGTAGATGACAGAGAATGATTGTTCGATGCTGGCAAGGAGGTAACTGTTTTGCGACAGAATTCCCACCAGGAATTTCTATTCCATTCCTATCCACACAAAGTAACACTGGGATAGTATAAAATGTTCACTTTACCGTGGCCAGTTGACTGGTATCAAAGTTTATTACTTTTTTGAAACTTTCCCGTGGAAATGTACTCAAAGTTTCTGATTCTGTCATCTGAAATTACATGTATTTTCCGTTGACCCAACACTTAACAAGAAGCTAGAATACATTTTGCTGAAGGATTACTGAAGATATGCATCATTCAGGGGAGACGAACTGTTCAACAAGACAAAAAGTCGGCTTAGAATTCCAAACCCCGCACTCCCTACTGGGATATATGCTGTATCAGGTTATCCGAGTATATCAGTAGAGAACTTGGTGTGTCACAAAAAACATTACTAACAAGCTTCCGACATTTATCGAAAGCTGGCTTCACATTGAAGATCAAATGGTCGGTCGGAAGGAGTTAGCAGCAAGTAACTCTGAAAACGAACCAACCAAGAACCTGTCGCCCAAAAAATATGTAGAAGGAAATGGAAATGGATCGGACCTACGCTAAGGAGGCCGTCGATTCGAACCCAGACAAGAAACAACGAGTCCGAAGGTTACATGGATGAAGTCGTGTGACGAGAAGATAAAAACTTATGGGCAATCGTGAAACCAGCTCTAGATTAGGGCGAAATGTCCTACTCGGGACTTAAGGAAATAATCATAGTAGTACTAGAGGAGGACATCGAGATTTATTCCTCCCTAACCATCGCTACCGCAAAGGTTCATGCGTTAATCAGACTGTGGGTAGAATCTTTAGGAGAGGAAAAAGAAATGAAACTTTTACCAGAAGTTCCTTCCTTTTATCCCAGGAAATAGACTCTACGTACAGTTTAGTTTGTGTATAATCACACAAAAATCCCTTGATTACGTCAAGCTGTGATCTACCTATCTATCTCTATCTATCCATCTAGACAACATTGGATCGATTAAAATGCCTGCAAATTCTGTTTTATTTCTCTACCACTTCTACACAGCATGATAATCTATTTGACCTTGTAAAAACCTAACCAATGAAAGGCGAGCAAATTTCAACGGCATGCATTCAAGCATGTCTGTCTGTCTATCTTCGCTCATTAGTCGTCTGTCCTATATTTTATTACATAGTCGGGATTCGATCGCTAGACCAGTTAAACTGACTACACGCTCTCTAACCCAGGCGTTGTTGAAAACATTATTAGAAGATGACTAGACAGACAGGTCTTGTATGCGCATACTAAAAATATTGATTGTATAGCCTAGGCTACGAGAGCGCTTTATGGCCTATATGTGGTTGAATATCTGCCCTAAGCGAAAAATCTGACGACCAAAAAACACGCCTACTATGTACGTTCATTGGAATTGAAAGAGGGATTCAGTTTTATGGAATTGACTTAACAATAACAACAATATCTAGTGAGTGATTAACCATTATTATTATTATTGCTATTATTTTGGAGTTTTTGAACTAATTTGTGAATTTTATTTCATAATATAATATTTAAGATGCGCATCCCTAAGCGTGTGTAGTACACCTTAATTTTTTCCTCATCTCTCCAAATATTCACAATAGCAGCTCAAAAGGAAACTACGTAATGAACAGATTAACGACCTTGAACAACCAGCCAGAGGAGTCCGTAGTATATAGGCGAAATGATGGATGCTTTACATGCAAATTTCACTGAAATTTAGTATTTAAGTAGTGCTTAGACAACAAGCACATTGGAAGGGAGAAAACGCGTCATCCCTGTGCTAATTCATAAAGTGGTCAATCACACGGACAATTTCGTTAATCCTTTCTATGGGACTCATACAAATTCCATCGAAAGTTTCTAGAGTAGGCTTTATAAGAGGATTAGAGCGGTGAGGACTTCTACGAGTAATTGGGAGGTTTTCTTGGGACATACACAAGAACGTTATCCTTTGTAACTACTTTCTAGAATTGCATTACTTTTATATAAACGGTTTTTTTTTCGAATGATGGACACTTGCCTCGGATGCATTTGAATGTTCGATAAGAGTTTGTCAAGGTCCTCATCAGGTAGTTTCGTTTTGGGCAGCTATAGTTTAAAGTCACCCGATAGATGACCTTTGACAAGTTTTGTAAGTCAATTTCGACTTTCCCATTAATTAATTGGACCGAAATATTCGGTCTCTGCTGATATATCGACGATGTCTAGGAATTAACTTGAAGTAATTTGGTAGATGATGACTGCAGAAGTAGAATCCAAGATGTACATTTCGTCAGCTGAATATACCTGGATTTCGACAACTCAATCGAGGCCAAACATTTCGGTCCAGTCAATTAACGCGATAATTGAAAATAATAACTGATGCGCACTGCATATAAGGTGGCTCTCGTGGTCCAAATGGTCTAGTGGATAATGATTTGGTGTTTAAATCGACGGTTTCCGCGTTCGAGTATCTCAGTAGGACCACCATCATTCACTCACTCATTGGGGATTTAGGTAAATCCCCAGATGAGTCAGTCCTAAATAGGACAAGATGGGCATCCACTGGATTCTACTACTGGTTACTATCCTCCAAATTAAATAATAACTTATATTTTTGCTTCGTATAGCGATTTCCAGGGGGGGTGGTAGGCTGAAGAACAGAATCAAAACAGTTTTTAGACTTTTATTCCTGCTTAGTTATTAAAGATCATTGGTAAGATCTATTTGGGTGGCTTCGTCATTTCGACTTACTTATCTCTGTAATCTACATTGAAAGGAACTATCAAAATAAAAGTGGTGGATAAACATGACTGTTTTATTCATAATTTTTGTGATCAATTAATTAGCGAATCTAATACGGACAATAACTTTTGGTTGTTAACATTTATCGATGTTAATTATTCACTTATGCATAAGTTTAAGGACACAGTACTGGTAAATCCATGCTCCTTACCGAAGGAGAAGTATGGTGCGCACTCTTCCGGATTTCCCACTCATGAACCCACCAGAAATCAAATCTGGGACCTTCAGGTTACGAGTCCAAGCTCGTTAACCATTCACCTTCATAGGCAGGGATTTTATTACCCATGCATTTTAACTTTCTCAACTTGTAATATGGCTCTGCCGCCAACCAATGTCTTTGATGACAATCCACTTCACTTTGATATGATGGACCTCAATGGTCACGACTTCCAACTCTAGCCTCAGGAAATCCATGAAATAGTAACTATCAATGAACTGGGGATTGATATTTAGATTATTAAATTTGTGGGAATTTATGTTTAATTTCAACTGTTAGATTTTCATTATGAACCAACATTAGTTAGTGAGATTATTGAAAACTAGGAAGCATTGGTTTATTATTACTCAGTCATCACATGAGATCACATTTTGGTGATTCAGGGTATAATTAGTTCACAAACAATCGTACATACTTCCAATATGACTTACTCATATGATGGCTGATGTCTAGTCAGGAAATAAACCAATTGGAATTGGCCGACATAATTGATCGATATTGAGTTTACGAATAAACCAATCAGAGTTTAGCTCACTTAAAATGACGCCTAATATTTTATTGATTGTGATTGCAGGCTATTCGACATATTAACTGATTAAAAATGACCATTAAATTTCTCAAAAGTATGGCTAGTAAACAAAGAATATTCTTTTCGATAACCTGCTCTTCATCAGCTCCTACAGATACATTTACATAATAGCGAACCATTCAGTGTTACTAAGAACGTTAATGTTGTTTAAATAATATTGGACCAATAATATCAATAGATTAGAGTTCAGTAGCATCAACATAACGAACGCTACACTGAATATCAGACAGGTAAATTAAGAAAAATAATAATACATATTCATGAATTCTTAGTCTCCACCGAAGGCCAACCAGCTCAGTAGAAGTGGTCAGCAGGATTTGCTATTTTTGCACACAAAGCACTGATTGTTTAAGGCGAGTCGCGATTACATCTCCTGTTTGGTGTATGCGGTACCTGGATGTTTTGACAATTTATTTGGTACCCAGTAGATGCTGGGTTTGTTGCCTATTTGTTCCAAATGGTATAATATCGAGCTGTTGATGGTTCTTACTACACCTTTACTTAGCCACACTGGTCGATGTTGCCGAGCACGAAAAATCAAGTTGCTATAGCAACGACCAATATCACTCGCTACACAAGCGCAGTTGAGTAGGTAAATACAAATAAAAGTAGCTAGTCTGTGTGCTTCATCTTTTAATTGAGGAATGCACATCCGTCGTGTAGAAAATAAGACTTCTAATTTGCCAGCATTAAAAGTTCATTTAATTGATTTTCTTAACTTCTATTTAAATATATCGCTAGCTATATCGCCCTTGATTTACAGTCGTATATATATAGGCTTCTTATTTACAGATGAAGAATAATCCTTTTCTGCATTCTTGGTCATGTGTTTCTTGATGAACTTTTCTAGATAGTTATTTTCAAATAAGTGTCAAATACAATTCTTATTTCATCTTCAGTTGCCTCTTCTGAGCACATAGCTCTAGCCCTATGGCTGAAGGTGCTTACTAAATTTCTTCTATACTGGAGAGGAACGAAGCTATTGTTGTGTTGCTCTCCTAATCATAACCACATAGAAGGAAGGTATTATCCGTACATCGCAATAAAATGAGAATTTTCTGATAAATTTGTTCAAAGGTACATTTTCTAGTTTACTTAAAAAAGAAATCTGTCAAAATGGGACCCAGTGAGGAGCCCATCGCTAATCTGTCAAATTGTCTTTAAAGTGCGCCATCCAATTTGAAATTTACATTTATAGGGAACACCTTAATAACTATTCTTTTAGGATTTCTGTTGGGATGCTAATACTTATTGACTGCTTATACACTTGTTTGCCGTGTGGTTAACATGTAGCAAGTGCAGCCAGCCACTACTACTGCATTGGTTGGCCTTCAGTGGAGACTATGAATTCATGAATAAGTATTATTTTTTCCTAATTTACCTGTCTGATATTCAGTGTAGTGTTTGTTATGTGGTTGCTGTCGTACTGTGATCCATTGATATTATTATTATTATTATTGATTCTATGCTTTATAAACAACATTAATGTTGTTAATAACACTTAATGATTCACTATTATGTATATATATAACTGTAGGACCTGATGAAGAGGAGGTTATCGAGAAGAATATTATTTATTCAGGAACTATTCGACGTATGTTTGGTGATATTTTGAATCATACATTACTGCCTAAAATATACCTGGCAGCTCACATCGTTGTGTGATCTCGCTGAAGTAGTGCAGGCTGTTATGTAATCTTGTTGATGTAGTCAGTCGGCATTTGTGATCAGCTCATCTGTTTCTAATTCGGCATCCCTATTTCACTCTCGACGTCATGCGAAACATAACACTCACATTGATTGATACATCACTCCTGCTGCGAATATAATTTCGATTGACAGCACAATATATTTGGTTAAGACATTCACTTACGTTAAATACTTCACATCGGAAACAGAAACCGGTGTATTTGAACAACCCTTTGTCCGTTGTGATTACATGCTGAACATGTACAAGAAGGGTCTTTTAAACCGCAGATGGGACAGAATGACCATCCGATGTTTGCATCACCTTGTTCAGGCTAACAAGCGCTTCTGGTTGATATGAGTGGTGGTCAACTGTCTTCCTCACCCTCCCAAAAAAAGCAGTATGCCTCATCAAGATATCGATCACTGAGCCATTTAAATTCCAATAAGGCTAAGATTCTATCGTTTTAGATCAATTTTTGTTTATCATGTTGCTTAATACTGGGGATTGGGGTTATCACTTTGGAGGTTGCTACCAGCAGGATACAAGAATACATGCGTTTCATCTTATAGCATATTTATTTATCCACTAAATGTGTATCAGAATTAAATGACTTAACACTCTTTCTTTAATAATCATTATTATTTTTTATGAAACAAGTGAAAATTGATTTTTATGAAATCAGTATAATCAATTTTATAATATTGATAAACAGTTATTATTGGTCTTATAGATTTTCATTTGATTTTTATGACACTATTATACTACTGTGTGCAGTACTGTGCTTAGTGAATAAGCAAATGTGTTATTGAGGTAAACAGTAGGATTTTGTCACAAACTGGGGCAGGTTACAATTGTCATTGATTTGCTAATAGTAATAATAATAATAATAAGGAAGTTATTTGGTTTAGGAACTATACGCTACTGTTTTCACCGTGTAGGTCAGTATGCATAGGTATGCACATTTTCAGAATATCACTCAATGAGATACGCAGGTACATCCAAATGATGAGTCCTAGACAAGACGAAATGCCCATCATGGATTCCACTGCTAGTCACCATCCACCAATTAACTCTTAAATTAAACAAGCAACTGTTAAGGAATAAAAGTAATGTTTTGCTCACATGGACCTGTTGTCGCCTTCATAGACGAGCAATGTTAACTGACATAACATTGGGTCGGAGAATCATGGCATTAAATCTATAAAGTGTTTCATCCTGTTGGTTTAAACTGCATGAGGAGGTGTAGACTGCCTAACTTGGATCATTTCAAACGCTAAGGTAGAATGACTGGAGACTAATGGTGTTGGTACAGATGCATTCAGTTTTTGTGATCTCTTAGATTTGTTATGTCCTCATTCTTTTTCATGTAATTATCCCCTCCTTTGTGTATTTATTTGCGTCTATTAAACTTTCGACGCAGTTTCACTCCACCTTATTTGGGATTGTAGTTGCAGTTTTCTGTGAAGTTTTGTTATAGTGTAGGGCAGTTCATTCATACAGTAAAAGTGTTTTGTATAATGTGACCATCCCTAAAGTTCAGTGTGGAACAGATAGACTGATTAAGTAATCGAGTTTCAACATGGAACTTTGCACTAAATTAGTGCAGCAGTTCAAATTGCCTCACTCCATATACCACAGAAATTTAGAGAATAATAAAAAGAAATAAAAAGAACTATTTTTTATTATTATTCCCTTAAGTTCTGAGAGGAAAATAAGGCTTCCCCAGCACTCTGCTCTCTACAGTCGTCTTTACGTGGCTCGATGATTACCCTTTAGCTCTTATCTTCTCATACGATATCCCCCGTGTTACTCTCGGACTCTTGCTGATGAGTGCCAATTAGCATGAAGCTTAGGTTCGAGACTCCCTGCCGATTGCCTTCAACTATCTAATGATTGAAAATTGTTCTGATTCGTGGAAATGTCTTCACTCTTTGTAATCTCCCAGACCCATTTAGGCCCGGTTAGCTCAGTCGGTAGAGCATCAGACTTTTAATCTGAGGGTCGGGGGTTCGAACCCCCCATCGGGCTGTGGCTCTTGTGCGTCGGTGGCACAGTGGTTAGGATCCTCGCCTACCATGCACATAGTCCGGGGTTCGATCCCCGGCCGACGCACACCTTTACCTCTCTAAGCCAGAAATAATTCTGGTAAAGAGGAAAGGTTGGGCATGAGGCTAGCAACCCCATCCTGTAAAATAAACTCTGCTACGGAAACTTCAAGCTACTAGCTTGAAGCCCTATGTTCCACTGGGGAACGTGAAGGAAAAAAAAAGACCCATTTATCCCTCATGCTTTTCCCAAACTACTGTTCTTTCTAATCTATTTTTCTATTCATTATATATCCTTTTGAGTTTCGTTTTCTATCCTATCCCTACCTTTGTCTGTGTGCTATATGAGGTTTGATAACCTGAACTGTTGTACTACTTTTGTGCAAAGTTCTACGTTGAAACTCATTCATTCATTTGGTCGCTCGCTCCCTCGCTGCTGACTTAGTTATCAACAATTTTATAATCTTTCTATAAGCTATACTTTCTTTGTAGTCAGTTATATTGGCAATAAGTGTGTGTATGTGTATGTGTGTTAACTTTTGTTTTGATTTTTGTCAACGCTTTATCGATTTGGAGTCAATTAGTCAATCGGAATGTAGATATTGTTTCAGTCTTCTTCACATTTGCATGCGCGTGTATGTACACGTGTGTGCTTGTACGTGTGCTTGTGTGTTAGCTTGCGCTCAGTCGCACATGTTCTATGCTTCTCAATAATTCAACTTGTGAATTGTAATCCATTTTGAACAAAAATAATCAATATAAATTTAAATTTTACCTCTGATGATGAGGACACAGATAATTAAATAAATAAAAGTGAGTGAGCACAATCATACATTGTACATACTTGTGTACTATATGTGTGTATGCGTCTGTAATGTAATACTATCAAATTTTTGGCGCTAAAATAACAAGTCTGTTTTTGACACAAAAAGACGTCTGTACTGTACTGTACTCTACTGTTGTAACTGTTATCTGTTAAATCTTGAATCAAAAGACAATTGATAAAAAATTAATTAATTAATTAATGATAATAATTACTCAGTTAAATGATGGTTAACTTTAGTGTGAAAAAGTAAAGCTGTAAAGTCGCGTTTTTACCGAAAAAAAAAATCCACTAGTCTCCTCTACTAAAGCTTGAAAATGTGATAATGTGATTCTGTTATGATATTTCAGAGTGTGAATATGAATATTAACTGACACTTATGAACGCTTCTTGATAATTTCCTGGCCGACTATGCTCCATACTCGAAACTAGTCAACTGTAGAAAAAATATATGACCATATACATATATTGATCCAGTCACAAGGCTCAAATAATTATTATTATTATTCCCTTGGTTTCCGAGTGGAATATAGGGCTTCAACAACACATCTCCACTTTCTTCTATTTTCTGCCATCCTCTTCAGCTGGATCCACGATTGCCCATAATCTCTCATCTCCGTCTCCTCCTCTTCCTCACGTGATCTCTTCCATGTCACCCTCGCATCGACGATCCACTCGTCGTTTCCCATTTGGATTCCAATGGAGGACCTGGTGCATTATGTCATTCGATGGTCTCCTCAGTGTGTGCACGATCCATCTCCATTTTCCCTCGAATAGTAGGCGTTAACTGTATATTCTAGATTCTGATTGGTTGACACCTATCATGTGACATCATGTGATTTGTTTTCTAATCTGACTAACAGACCAATGACAAAGGATAGATTGTGGACGTCAAACTGACAGAGATATAAACTCTCAGCATCCATCCAATTCACATAAGCCTTTGCATTCGTGTTTAGTACGAGTACGCTGCAATAGATGGAAGCTATACAATTGTGTGTGTGTGTGTGTTGGTGGTACGGTGGTAGAGTGTTCGTTGACCACGGATGTAATCCAGGGTTCGATTTCCGGTCACCGACGCACTCCTTTACCTCGCTAAGCCAGTAACAAGACTGGTAAAGAGGTAAGGTGGGGTATGAGGCTAGCAACCCCATCCTGTAAAAATAATCACCACTGCTGCAGAAACTTCAAGCCTCTAGCTTGAAGCCCTGTGGACTACTGGGAACGTAAATGAATAAAAAAGAATACAGTACTTTTTTTACCACTGGTGTTCTCTGTAACGCATTTCATCTTTAGGAATAAATAATAGGTGGTAGTTCAGAGACTTGGCTAACTTCTCACCAAAACCATTTACTATAGGCTACTAAAGACTTGCCCTATTCAGGTAGGTAGTTACCTGGGGTTCTAGTGAGAAGTCGTGACCAGTAGGGTGCAGTCGGTCGGGTGTGAGGACAAATACTCGCCGAAGACATTGGCTAGGGGTCGCGCTATGTCGTGAATTGACAGAAGTTAGAAATCACCGACTGGCCATTGGATCGGGTCCTGGTGGCCTAATGGTGTACGAGCTCGCCTTGTAACCAGAAGGTCGTGGGTTTGAATCATGCAGGTGGATGCATACTGTGAAGAGTTCCAAACTAGGACAAAACAGCTGTCCAGTACTCCCAGGTGTACCAATGGTTCTATAACTGATGTCAGCTCATGATGAAATCCTGATACTATAGACTTTCTTTAACTGCTGTCTTCTCTCGATACTGAAGTTCAGAAGACCGACCAAGGAAAATAAGAAGCGAAGAGCTTCGTCAGCAGACTGAATTTTTTGGATTGGATATACACTGAGGAGACGGTTGTGTGCCAGACCTTTGATTGAAACTCAAGTGAGAAGCGATGAGTCATACTTTGATCTCTGAGGGTGTTATGAAGGAGATCATGTGGAGAGTAAATGAAAACAGCCAGCTAAAACAGATGACAGAGGACAAAGTCCAATTGAAATGTACTTCTGAAGCCCTACTTTCCACTTGTAATAGTCAGGACATTACGTAATACATAAATCTTGTGTTTGAAGTATCTCAAAAGCTATTCAACGATTAAAAGATTGACAGTATTCCTCTTTCGTTGTTTGAATAATGAATAATCAGAAAAGTAATACGATAATAGTTTTTTTGTACAGAGCTATTCTTATATTATTCGATTACTGGTTGTTGATAGTAGAATCCACCTTGTGATTTCATCTGGATTGAACTGTGCCCCATTCACTGATTGTGTTCTCAGTAAGTCTCCAACTCCAGTACTCAAACTCTTTCTGTGGGTACTAACATCCAACTGATGTACCGCAAATAGGACGGAATACTCACCTTGAAATGGAAAAGTTTGTAGGGATTCGAAAGTCGTTGAAAGCCATTAGAGAGTCCTGGCCATCTGTTTCTTCCTATTTTAGAACTCTTTGGCAGTATACACCTACCGGAGTTTGAACTCAGGACCTTC